AGTCAGTTTTTAACAAGTAACGCAGACTCTCACAGGAAGCTGAAACACAGCCACATCAAGCCTTGGGTAGCAGCAGGCGGTCTGAGGGACACTCAGGAGGTCTCTGGGCGCTGGAGCTGCTGACTTTAGTTTAACTCAGCCGTGAACGTGGCCGAGCTGAGGTCAGAGCATCTCAGAAACATTCAGGGCGCAGACACTGTGCAGCCTGCTAGCTCTGTGCAGCCTGCTAGCTCTGTGCTACTTTCCCGCCCCACACTAAAAACTACAAACTGAGGCCCTCGGCCCCGTTCCGCCCCTAACCATGACCCAGCTGCCCTCACCTGGCCTGGATATAAACACATCCACAGGAGCCGCGTGCTAACCTGCCCTTTAAACTGCACGTGCTCACGGACACCTGAGGTTCCGGTGAAGCAGCGCGCGGACGCGGAGGCTCGGTCTCGGTTCCGCTGGGCTCGGTGTGCTCCGTGCCGCCCTCAGAGAGCAGCTAGCCGCAGGCCTCACCGAGCTCACGGTGGCTGCCGTCACCCCGAAGCTCGGCCACGCGCTCCGGTACCGACGCAGTCGTTACCTTGTGTCCGCCCCCGCGCGCCGGGCGCTTCCGAGGGGCTCCGTGGATCCGTTGTTCGGGTTCGGTGGTCGACCTGGCCGCGGAGGGTCTTTAATGGTGGGAGGCAAACAACAGCGCACGCGGCGTCCTCCGCAGTCACGTCACCTCCGCCAGTACTGCGCAGCCTCCGCCGCCATCTTGGGCCCGCAACCTGGCTGTGACGGCAGGAATCCCCGTGAGCGGCGGCCGTCGGAGACCCGTGAGCGACCGCGGGGGTCGAACGTGCCTGCCGAGAACACGAAGATGGCTCCGGTGAGGCCCCGCGGCGCGGCTTGGTCCCAGGCGGCCAGCCCGCCGCCTCCCGGCGCTCCGTGCCGTCGGTTCGACCCGGACTCCGGCCGCCGGCTTGGGGCGAGCTGACGCTGTTTAGTCACACTCCGAAGCGGAACCGAGCCACAGCACGGGAACCACAGCTGCCGCCACACTGCTCACGTGACCACAGCTGGATCGTTCAGCCCGCACTGATACTGCGCGTTCCTGTGTCTGTGCGCGCGCTTTATTTTGTGCGTACGGGGTTCACCAGGTGCCCCGTTAGCTCCCGGCTAACTCGGCACGTTATAAATGCACTCATTTATAACACTCACAGGTAAGTCACGTGACACAGCTCGTGAATAAGTAATCTATTACAATAAAACATATTAGTGCAGGTAACAGTGTGTCCAGTGTTTAATAGGAGTCCTCTGATTACTTTGTGTCTGTTTTAAGCACAAGTGTGCGCCTCTGACCGCAGTGTCACCTGCATACCTGTCCCCCGGCTTCTGCAGTTTAACGTTGTTATGAAGAATGGAAGTACAGGTGTGGTGATCAGGTGTGTGTGAGCGCTCTGCAGGGTCGGACTTGCAGCCTGGAGGAGGAGGAAGCTTCATGGACATAGTGAAGGACTCGGAGGGCTGTGGTTAACTGTAAAGGGTGGAGGTTTTTATAAGGTGTAGATGCAGAGGGCTTCACATGCTGAGCCTGATGAAGATAACAGGAAATTCAGAGTTTTTGGATGCACGCGTTCAGCAGCAGGTTTCCTGGTTCGATCCCAGAGCTTTCGTCCACTTATCAGGATGAAGGAGGGAAAATTTCAGTCTGGAGCAGCAGCGAGCTGTGAGTCTGAGGATTATTTTAGTGTTGCCGAGTCGTATGTGTGTTCAGTGCAGCAATCTGATTGGTCAGATCTGTTTATTCACAGCCAAAAAATCCAAATATTGAGCTTCATCCAAAAACTTTGCATCCTATGAAATCTCGCGGTCTGTGTGGGCGCGTTAAGAACAGGTAAAAAGAAAAACACTCGTGTGTGTAGAGTTTTATTCTCAGGTTTCTGCAGCATCTCCGTGTGATGGCGCAGGTACGAGTACAGGTGTGCTCTGAAACTCTGGAGACCTTTGAGCACAAAATATCTGGAAACACCTGGATAAACAATCACCACGGAGTGTGACAGGTAGCTGGAACCAGAACCTCCACTATGTTAGTGTTTGTCCTGGGGAAACGCGCCTGTCAGGTAAACTCAGCTCACACTTTCTACCTGGAGTTCAAACATTGGCCGGTAAACACCTGACACCTCGTTTAAACATCTCTCAGCCTGATTGGAGGAAACGTGAGGTCAGGACAGCGCTGAAGTCTTCACGGGAACAGCAGTGAGGTTTCTCCAGAGTCTGCTCCCTGACGCTCCCCACGACAAGCCACTCTGGGCGTCGGCCTTTGGTCACATGTTTTAAAGAAGAAGAAACTGCGTTTACCTGAGGAAAACTGAGATTTAACCTCGTCGATGGTGTGCACAGCCAGCTGCTACTTCTTTGCTGCTCTTTCTTCCTTGGCCAACATTTCTGCACAGGCAGGGTTGTCTTGCCTTGAGCAGGTATTTTAGTATTTTTGATCTTCTAGTTTAGCCAAACTTCACCTGCAGCTCAAACGTTCCTGGTGGCAGCTGAGGCTTCAGCAGCAGAGATCAATAAGAGTCATTGACAGGTGATCGGGTCCACGTGGAAACATGCAGAGGGTCAGTCTGAGAACAAGCGTGTCTATGAAAGTGTGAAATATCCAGCTTCTGTCCAGTGCTGAACGCCTCCCAAAACCTCCATCCTGATCCTCTCCACAGGTCTGTGGCGCCTCCTCCTGTGGCGCCTCCTCCTTTTGCTTTGGCGCCTCCTCCTGTGCGGCCTCCTCCCGTGCGGCCTCCTCCCGTGCGGCCTCCTCCCGTGCGGCCTCCTCGTGTGGCGTCTGTTTCTGTGTGAAGTCTGAAGAACCACAGCGACCTGGGATTAACGCTGTAATCAGCTGATCATCGTGGCGTTTCTGATGTCAACCAAACTGACTAATCGCGGCGCTGTGATGTCATCAGTACACCAGATCCTCATATTTAAGAAACCATGAAGGTTCATCTCTTGCTGTGATGTCACAGCTGTCATCACAGCGACCTGATTGGTCAGTTTATGGTTGTCTGCAGGTCTGTCAGCGCGCTCCGCTGCTCCTTCAGAGTTAAGCCGCTCTTGTTTGCATCACACCGACGCAAACAATGAACAAACCAGCAGTGAAACGTCCAATCACGGCACAGAACCACGACCCGTCTCAGAGACCGCACATTTGACTTGGGATCGCTGTCTTAACCAATGGGCGGGGCCTCAGTGTCTTCACGTGTTATCCCGTTTCTTCACACGGCTCATTTCTCACCGACCTGCAGGAACGTTTTGCTTCCATCAGAGCGCCGCCTGGAGACCAGCGCAGGTGGAGCAGCGTGGTGTTCTCGAAATGTCATGTTAAACAAAAGCAACACGGTCCTCCAATCAGCTAATAGGAAGCAGCTCCACCCTGATGATATCATAACTCATGTTCAGAGGCCGTGACATCACAGTTATCAGGAAGCAGAGCGGCGCTACACGGCGAGGCTGCCCTGCAGGTTTAGTGTTCACAATCACAGCGACACACTCACACACACACACACACACACACACCTGCTGAATGACATCACAAATCTGTCCAATATGAGGTCATTTTAAATATTTGTGAGCCTAAAACCTGACAGCAGTAAAAGGTTTTACATGTATGACGAGGCGTCCTCTACGTGTCACACGTCGGTTTATGACCGTTTATGATCACATGCATAATCAATAACCTGAGCCGTCGCCTCTACGCCCTTCAGCTTCCTGTCACATGACATGTCAGCAGAGGAAATGTCAGGCGCTGCAGCAGAGCGCCCCCTGCTGGAGTGAATAAACGCCAGGGACCAAGTCTGTCCTTCAGACCACAGACTGTAAATGAACGATGGAGCTGTACTGTGATGTCAGCGGTTACCATCTTAGCCGCTTCCTGTTCTGAAACGCGTCTGGAAAAACTTCAGCGAGCTCACAGATCAGCTGGCTTCTGTCCAATCAGACTTCAGAGTCAGCCCCGGATTAAACAGGGCGCAGGTGTAAGCAGCTTCAGGGTTACCTTTACGTCCATCCTTTATGTACAGTCTGCTTTTGGCCAGCAGAGCCGCAGTCAGGGAGGGGCGGAGACTAGAGCTGTTCGATGTAACGATGTATATCGGATATAAAAACGTCCATCGTTTCATTTTACGCTGTCGTTTGTTTCGTGGTGTCGCAAAATAAACTGTTTACGGTAATATTCATGGTTCTGATGGTCACTGTAGTTATTATTCATTTATTAAAGTTCTCTCTTTCTCTTATATTTAATATAACCACTACGGACGGACAAGCGCCTGTTTTTATGCGTTGTCATTAGCAACAACGACGGTAACACCATGCTGCTTGTCTGCTTGTTTATGTTCCAAGTAAACCTTTCACAATAAAACTCAAGATCCTGTTGAGACTTTTCAAAATAAACTGAATCACGTGAAAGAGCAGATTATTTAAGATGAGAAGTAAAAAAAGAGCCGTCAGGTGCGTTAGAACAGGCTTTTCCCCGCAGCACGCCGTGTAAGAAATACAAAGAAAACGGCGCCGTTACAACTTATGTCTAAAAATGTATCGTTTCATGCATCGGTTAAAACACTCGACTCCAGCTACATGACGCACAGCTGGAAACACTTCACACAAGTCGAGCTGCCCGACATTCACAGAATTTATTTTTTGTGATTTATATTGTTATCGGGACGATAGATGTCTTAATGTCGGGACATGAGGTTTTGGTCATGTCGCACAGCCGCAGCAGAGACCACAGACTCAGGTTAAGATATCACCGGCTCACTGACACAGCTCGAGGTGTTACGGCTGAACACGAGTCTTTAGAGGTGAAATGACTGTCAGCTGTTATTGATCGGCATGCAAGAATCATGTGGAAGAAACAAACCCGCCCTGTGGTGTGACATCACTTCCTGTCTCTTTTGTTTTACATTTTAAATACCTGACTTGATCTTTACCCCATATTTTAGTACATTTATTCCTTAGTAAAGATTTTATTTTGATCCATGTTTTATTTGAAGAGCTGCAAACCTGTCGATAAATATTTGTCTGATTGTTTTTGAATTTGAAAGCTGGCAGTAAACGATGAAACTGAAATGATTTCACAGAGCTGGACGCTGATTTTTACCGATCACGTTTTTAATCTGACCTCAGATCAGAAGACAAAGCGCAGAAAACAGGAAACACTTTATTTAATTATCACTTTCTTACAGACCTGAAGTCAGTGAGACATCACACACAGAGGTAAGAGTGTCGTCATAGCAACACAAGATAAATCAGTTAAGAGGGTCAGTCATCTGTCGCCACTAAAACTTCAAGTTAATTCAGTAATAACAAAACACAGCTTCACTGTTACAGCAACAGCCACCACCGGGGGCAGCAGAGAGACACTGACAGGGTGGGACACGCCGTGAAGAAGAAACCATAGAAGCCACATGTAGGCCACATGTAGGCCACAGAGGCCTCACGTACACGTCCAGCAGCTTTCACACATCCCATAATTTCTCAACTCATCATAAACTAAAATCAAAGCGCTTCAGAAAAATGCTTTGTGGGAGGAGCTTCAGCAGGAAGGTCAAACCTGAAATGTTTCCCTGTTAATACAGGTTCAGTGCAGGGTTGTCCAACTGGAGGCTCCCGGCCCAGGTAAGGGTCACGGGTGTGCTCAGGAAACCCCCAGTCTTTCAAAATAAAAGCACAGCTCCAGACCTAAATGGTAATGTCCTCTAAAACACAAGCTGCAAAGAAAATATCCAGGCTGATTAATTGATTAGTTAACAGGAAGTGATTAATCGTCGAACAAAGAAGCAGCTGCTGATCGATCAATAAAACGTGAGTTATTGATTTACTGACCTGAAAATAAAACGTTTATTAATGAAATGAATGAGGCGTTTCGGCGCCCCCTTCTGTTTCCTCTCGGTGACTAACAGCACCTCCCTCCGTCACTGATTCACCTGCTGATCGACTCCATGGATCCTTTGTTCTGAACCGTAGTGGGAGGAGCGGTCGTGATTGTCCCTCAGTGCGTCTCCGCCCGCCCGCTGCTCCGTGCCTCAAAGTGAGTCTGATCAGCTGACGGAGGAGCGCTGAGATTGGCCAGTCTGTGTCACACGTTGATGACGACGTCGTCGTCGTCTTCGTCCCTCGCCTCCTCCTGTAACGTGTCTGTGGACCACCTCCCCCCCGCCTCCTCCTCGGAGACTCCACAGGGGCCGGTGATGTACCTGTAGTCGCCACCGATGGCAAACGCCGCCCCAGACCCAATCAGCCAGTCTTTCTCCTCGTGCTCCACCTGCCGCTGCCATGGGACGCCCCAGTTTGAGGCCGCCACCGCCTCCTCAGGCCCCGGGGCCCGGGCTCCTCCCCCATGCTCACCATCGTCGCCCTCCAGGTTGACGTAGAATAACGGCTCCTTCTGAGGGGAGGCGGGCAACAGGCTGAGCCACAGCGCCTCCAGCTGGCCGACCAGCTGCTGGAAGCTGGGCCGACATTTAGGGACGGGACTCCAGCAGCTGTGCATGATCTCATATCTGACAACCACAGAAGAAGAAAGAGGTTAAAGAGTGCACACAGCTGACGTGATGAGCTTTGTTTTGAAAGGGGTTTCTCACATGTCGTCTCTGCAGTCGGCCGGCTTCTTCAGACGTTCTCCTTTGATCAGGAACTCGTAGATCTCCGAGTTTTCCACGCCAGGATACGGAGTCTGACCGCGAGTCATGATCTCCCACATCGTCACGCCAAACGCCCACTGACACACACACAGAAGGTCATCATTCGCTGAGTGCACACACCAACCTGAAACTTTTAAAGTCTTTACTTTACTCCTAACATGTTCCTTTAGTTTGTTTCCATGACAATCTAATCATGTGACAAAGAGCTGGTCTGCTGACGTGACGCTGACGTGTTTATGTCACAGCTTCACTCCTGATCAGCAGATGGCAGTAACGAGCACTACAGCTGTGATGAGGTGACAGCAGAAACCACCTGCACAGGTGTGCTTAAACTAGAGATGCACGATACCACTTTTTTATGTCCGATACCGATATCATAAATCTGGATATCTGCCGATATGAATCCGATATAGTGTTTTTTTTAATCAATAAAACGTTTTTAATATCTTGCTGCATTTTGTATAAGTTCATACTCAAGTTTAAATAAACAACAACACTAAAGCTATTCTGTTATACCTGTATGTGAAAAACACACTGCGCCCAAAATATTTCATAGTTCAGCAAAACTGATCAATCTAATAAACTTAAACCTGCTCCATCCTCCCTATTCTGGTGTTTTAAAGAGTACTTAGCAGAAATATTAAGCAACCTAACTGATAGGGTTGCAAGGGAACCCCCCCCACCCTCCACCTCATGATGCTTAATCGATGTAATCAACTTTAATTTGATGCAGGGGGAAAAATGCACAGAAATAAATTATTTTTCAAGAATAATTAAATAGATTCAACATCTTTCTTCAACAGA